AAAAATCCGCCTAAAAAAGAAGCCCAAAATAGGGGGGGGGGGGGGGGGAAGTATGTTGGCTAAATTTGGCCAATTTCTCTGGAATTTGGTTAATTTCTACAAAAAATTGCACTGCAAATCTCTGCCAGCTCCAACTATATTTAAATCCTATATAAATGCCAAATATTTTAATTAAAAAACTATTCATACCTTTTTAATTTTTAATTTTTCTTCTTCAGCAGTGCAAAGCTTGATTTCTAGGTTTGCAAAAGCTTGTTGAAGGTAGCTCTTCGGTTCATTTGTTCTCTGTGTCTCAGCATCAGCCAAAGCAATGGTTGATGTAACTAAAGTCTTGTCTTCAATTACATTCAAAGAGGCAACTGGAATATCTGCTTGAATCTAATACATACGAGAAACAAAATGGTAAAGGAAATGGTAAAGGGAATTTAACATTCCAGTCAAGTCAAATTTCATTTCCAGATGACATTACAGAACTTAAGAACTGTAAATACTAAGGTTACTTTTTTGAAACCACACTTCTCTGAAATTGGCCATGCACACTCTCACATGTAGGATGTGCTGGCCAAAAAGAAAGCTCCAACAGTGGAACAGTAGCTAGTAATTCTAGATGCATTCACATCAATCCTTCCAATCTCCTCAACTGCTTTTCAAGAATACTTTAGGAGAAGGCTTTAAGGAGGAAGATGGCACAGATACCTCAGTTTCCAATGAGGTCAAAACACTCAAAAGAGGTGAAAAGAGACAGAAGTGAAACTGAATCATCTATCTCAAAGCATCAGGCTTACAGGGAAATAAACTCTCCTTGGATTAGTTACTCCATGTTTTCACCCAATGCAGACTGCAAACAGTAGCCATGGAAAGGGAATACAGATTTTTTTGTGCTAAAATAAATATCTCAATTTCAGGCCAGACCAACAGAATAAGAGTAATTGGGACATGTCTACAACACTTAGTTAATGCTATTTCAGTGAACTGTAGAAGTACAAAAACTGAAACGAAGGCTTCTAGAATTCACAACCCAAACCAGATGAAACACTAATAATAAGCCCTTATTTTCAGAAAAGCACAAAAATAAATTAGGTGAGGTTTAAAATATTTTGTGGTATAATTAACAAGAGCCAAAGCTTTTTTTTTTCTTCTTAAAAAAAAAGGGCAAAAACTTGTTTATATCACAGCAAAGGAACTTCAAAGGAAAAAGCTGGTAAATTAACTTCAGCTGCCACTTTTCAACAACAATTTGAAGCCAAGAGTGCTTGAGATTTGGAGAGGGGTGGTGAAAGGAATATCTCAATGTGTTTAAGAGAGATTTGACTGATCTGATTTAGTCCATTCCCTTAACACCTTTTATTCCAAACAGACACTCAAATAATATATTGACTTTTCAATAAATAAGTATGTCTTAAAGGATTCAAAGAAAGAAACAAACAAAAATAGCTGAGATCTTGACCATACATGGATACATAACATCCAGTAGACAAAACAGCCAGTAAGAATGCAGTTTGTGCTCTGAATTCCCCTTCTGGAAGAAGCAAAGAGAAGCTAGATGTGCTAATTCTACTTCTGAGTACTACTCAAGATTAGAGTCTGGCACTGCAAATATTCTGATGTTGGAACCTGAAACATTGAATTTTTAACATGAAACCTCAGGAGGTTCTGGAGATATAATTATAGAAGAATACAGTTATCCTAACATCCTCCTCTAACAGGTGTAAGAATATTTTATTACAGCTTTATGCCCATCATTTTCCTTTAGTTTTATTCAAAAGTGCAAAGTCTGATCTCCATTTCAAAATAATGCTAAAGGACCTCCTTTCAACTCCCTCTCTTCCTTTAGTAACACTTGATAATACTGTATTCTCTAGCTTGTGTTATTTCCTGCATTAAGAAGAGATTTTATGGAACCATGGGTCTGTCAGTAGCTGACCACAACAAGATGATAAAAACTGAAACATGGCCTACAACTAGAATTTGCATACGTAATTATTCACAAGTAAAAAAGTGTATTTCTTATTTTTAGTAAGTTTACCTAACCAAATGACTTTTTAGTTTTAAAAAATACACCAAAGCCATAGTATTCTGGAATATCCAAAGTGCTCTTTCCAGAGAACACACAAGCTGAAGTTGCTGGCCTAGCTCAAACAAGAAAAGATACAGGATATTCACATTTCACTGATAGCCAAAATCAAAAAGCATAGGATCTGTTGTGGCTGAAGAAAAGCGTATGTTGATCGCTCTGCCAGAATAGAAGTTTACTTATCAGAACATTGTCAGAGAGGCAGATGAAGAGCTTTCAACATAGAAAATGGCCCTGGCTGGCATCAGTCAAAAAAGAAAACAAACACTCCCCCCTCTCAAGAAAAAAACCCACAACTTTCAGATTTCTAAGAAAATTTCCTTGGTATCATTTGCATTTGGGCACATCTCTTCTTTACTTTTTATATATAGGCTTTCCCCAGAACATTAGGCTAGGAACAAATACAAAACAGTAACTAATTCATTACTAAGACTGAACTATCGGAACTGTACTAGCCACAGCCTTCCTGGAAGTGTGAACACACAGATGACACTCAAAGGAAAACCAGTAAGAGTCAGTTTATTTGTACAAATTGTTTAAATAGCTCTAGAGCAAAGCTTTTAAATGGTCAGATTATGGAAATCTGACTTAATTGTCAAATTCAACTTTCACCATGAGTAGCCCTAGGACTTGATCAGACTACCTGAAGGATAAGAAACCAAGTACTGAAAACCAGAGGGTCGCAAACTAGCCCAAAATATTGATTGGTTCAGAGAAAGACAAGAGCACTTTCTAATTCAAGTATATACTTCTATGCATCCTGAAACGAGGAACTTTACAATCAATAAACTTGTTCAAATGGATGGCACTAAAATCAATGGCAATAAAAACTCACTTGGGAGGGTAAATCTAATTAATTCTCATCCACAGCAATCTAGAATTCTTGTGCTAATCTCCAGGCAGAAATTCTTTTCCCTCCCTTGCTTACCTAATCATTTAGTTAAAAACTAAACACTTTCATGCCCAACAAAAAGCTAAGATCAGTTCTCAGCAGTATCGTAGCCACAAGGAGAGATCAAGATCACAACTAGGAGAGTGTCAGATCACCAAAAAAAAAAAACCCACCAACTTTAATGGGGGAAAAAATAAAGTAAAATAAAAAATAAAACTAAAATTGATTTAATTATAATTAAGATTAAATATTAATTCTCTAATCCTGAAACCACTTGAGAAAACATACAAGTATGACATACATGTACAGCTGTAATCTTTACAGCTTTAACAGTAACAAATTTTTTTAAGAGAACCTTCCTGCTATTGTTTCCTATTTTCATGCCTAGCACTATCAGAATGCCTTTAACTTATAATAAGTCTTTAACACACTTATATCTCTTGTACTCCACACCAAAGTAGTACGGTGTCTCCCAGTTATAGGATTTACACACAATTTAAAAATTTTACTTCAAAACCTGTATCACAGAAACCCAAGGACCTTTTGCTCCTAAAAGGCAATTCAATCTAAATTTGCACAGAAAAGATACAATGCTAAGACATTTAATACATCAAGTTCCCATACTGAAACACAGAAATTGTGGTTTTACCTGTTCTTCAGGAACAGCTGCATTTATAACATTGTTGACTGTTTGAATAGTTGTTGCCACGTTATCACCTGATAAACCAAATGAGTCAGAAGGAACCAGGCAGGAAGAAAGCACAGGGTTCTCCAGAAGAACATCAGGAGATATATGGACTTCAGACACTAATGCAAGCAATAAAAACAGAAAAACACACACACAATATGAAGCAGCATTCAAAAATTAATTCTGTTTCTGAAATCTATACCTAGCAAAACCCATCACACTAGCAACTAGTCATACTAATGGGAGGTTATGTACCTCTTACAATAATTGCACTGAAGAACAATTCCACACAAGTTTCCAGTAATTTTGAGTACTATCAACTTAAGGACAGTCAAAACTGTACAGTAACACTAAATTTAGACTTGTAACTTACACAGAGGTTTCACAAGACAACTGCATTAAAAGCAGCAGTTTTAAGTTTTGTCTCTTTCCATTCACATAACATTTCAGCTTCAGTATGATCTTTAATCAGTTTAAGTCAACTGTAAAACCGTACTTACATTTTCCTCAGTTTTATAAATTTTAAAGGTAAAAAAATCCTCAGCTGCCTTAGAAGATATATACAAACAGCTTACCAAGACACATAATAAAAGCAGTTTTATATTTTATAAGATATCAGAAGATAAAGTAAATAACTGTCTAGCTAATATAACTTAAGTGTAATTAATACTGGAATGAGAGCTCTTCCATAGCAATTTCTAGTTACACCATAAAAATCCTGAAGAGTGCATCATCATTATCAACCCAGCACAACAGAAATTTGAGTGCTTTTACAAAAGATTCAGAAATAAACAAAATAAAAGAATAGGAGACATGAAAGCTTTGCATACATTTTTTTTAATTTAACAGCAAAGTCCTGCAAACTTTGATATGGTCAGCTGGGTATGCCTTTGCAGCAGACAAAAAAATATATCCACTCGCTGTAGAAAAAGCAGCTCACACTATCATTACAAATCTGGTAAAATGTAAAAGATGCCACTAGCCCGGAGCAAGGCTCAGCATCTCAATATCACTGTTTAATACTGCATAAGTATGCATACACAGCTCAAACAAGTGTATACATAGGCCTAAAGGCATTCAAAATGACAAGCTAATCTTGAACCCAGGCGGCCATGCCCCATCATCTTCGCCTCCCAGTTCTGGGATTCAGGTTAACACAGACAAACATGCAAACTTCATCTAGCGAAAAGGAGAAAGAAAGACCACGAGACAGAAGAATATCAGGATGCTAATTGCAGCAAGAGTAGATTTGGACGGGGGGGGGCGGGGAGACACGACAACAGCGAGCAGAAAATGGAAACTTGGATGAAAAGCCTAGAGGACAGTATTTCAGCAAACAGCACAGGAACCACTTCAGGTAACCAGGACAAAACAGAGGACTGGGACACAACTGCATCTTTAACAGTAAACTCTTCTCTGGAATTGGAAACAGGATTTTTTTAGGCTTCCTTTATGTACCATAAGATATCTGTGAAAGCCCCCTCCCTTTCCAAATACCTGCTTACAAAGGCAGCTTCCTATAACCATTACCTATTTGGTTAATTCAAATGACAGTAAGATAACAGAGAAGATGACCTTTTTGCTCCTAAAAAAACCCAGTAAAGTCTCTGTTTTATGCTATCACTTAATATCCTGAATTTCAGTTTTAAATCAATTTCCAACAGATGGAAAAACAACTAAAATAATGTACCAGGCAATTCTGACTGAGCAGACAAGCTGTTTCTCTTACTAAACCTGTCAACTCACAAGGAAAAACCTAGCATAACACTAATCCTTGTGGCATTAATGATCATCCTTTGGTGATGATCACCATAGTATAGGCATGGTTCACATATAAATAATTAATCACAAAAGTAAAAACAGAAACTGAATCTGGATACAGATGAGGAATGGAGACTCATAGAGATTAAAACTTAAAGTATTCACAGATTTTGGGGTATCCAATACTAGACATAAGACTTCATTTTTCAGATAATACAGTTTTATGTGGAACCTTCTACAATCAAATCAAGCTTCCAGTGATTCGAGTTATAGTAATGAATGCTTAGCATTTTGAGGGGGAAGTAAAAACAGAAACAAAACCCCCACCTCTTAACTTGTCAAAATAAAGCCTAGGAAATGAGCAGCAATAACTGGTGACCATCTCTAAACACTGTGGTTTAAAATGATTCAACGAAATACATGACCTTGCAGAAGACAAGAAAAGGTGGCAACTCTCCATGGTATCATTCAAGCATCTTTTTTACAAAACCTTCTTTTCACTTTCAGCAATGTTAAAGATTCATAAAGTAGACATTCCTAGAATTATATGTGCTATGTCTGTAATTCCAGCTCTCTCCATTCATTCCTCTTGTGTATATACCAGTAAAATTGCATTAGCATTGTAGTTCAGCTCAGAACTTGCTTATGAAGACAACCCCTCAATCATTCTTCCTTACCATGCTTTAGTTATCATAATGGAACAGTTTCAGAATCCCTGAAACAAAAAATTGCCTCTGATAAAACTACCTGACTGGACTCCAACAGCTAATGAGGTTCAAGTCCACAGGACCAGGCTAATGCTAGTCTGAAATAAAACTCCTAAAGCACATCTAGTATGGATGTTGGCTTTTCAGCATCACTTTACAGATCCTTGCCTCTTCAACTGCTGTACCACCTGCTATGATACCCAGACATTCTGATAATAATGACAAAATATTCTTCCACAGTATTCTGCCCTGATGCAATATATCTCCTCTTAACTTCTTCAGTAAGCAAGGCAGGAGTCTGATAGTTCTGGTGAATTTCCAAAAAAACCTGTTATTGTTCATTGATCAAAGCTACAGTACTATAAAAAAAAAAATCATGTATTCAGTTACAGGTATATCAAAAGTCATATGCCCAAGAAGGCTGAAATAAATGCAGATATAAGTTATTGCCAAAACTGTACTTAAAAAACTAATCTGATAATTTCTGAACCCTTGACTTCCCAATATTAACAATATTCTGTCATAGGTTTGTATGCAAGAAGTGACAAAACCATGCAGTTTGTTAGTAGAAACAGAGATCAGTAACAGCCTGCAATCTTGCTCACACAAGAAAAATTCTCTATCTTTATTCCAGTAATGAAGCTGAAATAATTATTAAAATCACTGGGGGATCAGAAATTCTGAAACAAACAAACAAAAAAACCCCACACAAGTGGATGAACATGAACTGTTAAATCAACATTCCATATGAGTTGTATACTTCATACTGAGCTTCAGAATGAAGATATTACATATGAAATATACCACTGAAAAAATAAACATGAGTAACATTTACTAGTTGGATGTTATTTATATCCAGCAATTAAGAGATGATATGTCAGCAGGGGTCTGAACAAAAGACCATATAATAATTCTTTGACAAACTTTTGTAGAACATTGCAAACTATTTGCAGCACAGTTCCCCTACATGTGGGTTTCAGCTGTTAAAAATAAAAAAAAAAAAACCAAGAAACAAAAACTAAATTTCCATCCTCAACTACCCATGTCTTTGATGATACAATTCAATGACCCTTTAAATTATACTGTATACACTGTAAACTGTATCACTGAACATTTTCAGTTTAAAGTAACATTCAGATAGAAAGTTTAAGACCAGTGTCCAAATTTCAGTGACCTGCCTAAGTCCCAGCCCCATATATGGTTGCTCAAGCACGACTGTAAGAGACAGGAAACTATTCTAAAAGGCAGGAATTTCTGTCAGCTGTAATGTCAGAGCTAGAACACAGGGATCTACAGCCTGCGTAATGCTGAATAAGCAGCTTAGGGAAAAAAAACTGAAAATTACTGTATTTACAAACATCACCCAATTTACTTTTGCCAATACACAGCAAACTAGCACACAACAGAATATGTAAAATGCATTCTAAAACACATAAATAACAAACACCTAATAAAATTAACCTATCATTATCAGTGAAAACCAAATTACTTTATGAAACAAAACCAGAATCTGTTAAAAAAAATTTCCTGCAAAACAAAAAGCAACAACTAATAAATTTAATTCAAAATAGACAAAGTATTTCCTGTATTTACACTGCTTTTAGCTCACTGTAAATGGATAACTATTAGAAAGCGTTACATTGCTTAAAGAATAAGTGGAGGGATACATTAATAGACATCAATTGTCACCCAATATGCCCATAATAAATGTTGTAAGAGTCTCAGATGGCATGCATAGCATTCTGCGAAGCTGTAGGAGTTTTAGTAGTTTCCTTAGCAAATTTCCCAATTTTTCCACTTCTAAAACCAACACTTTTAATCACTGTATTTACAGATCACTGATTCACCAGAATGAGATGCAGTTCCACATCTGTTGGGGAAGTAGAATTAGGATCAACAGGTAAATGTCTACATAATGCTGAAGTTGATAGCAATTTCTCTGTTGACTTCAATGAGCGTGAGTATCCTCAACAGAGAAAAAACACTCTAATGTACTTTCAAGATGATTTCTCATAGTTCACAGCAGAAAGCTCTTCCCCACACTTTATTCTTCCAAAGCCAAACTACTCTAAAAAACTACTCTGACTTATTTTCTATAGTATTCCAACATCTTAAATCTTTAGGTCATATGGAAATACTGATTTTATTTCCTAACTTCTTATTTAAGTAAAACCTACATACAACTACCAAAAGTTTACAATACTGCATCCATTTAGTTGAGCCTCAGAAACAAACCTTTCAGTATTCAATGACTACACAACATAAGAAAACTGAGAACTCATTCCCACCAGTTTTGCTTTGTTTTTTAAAAAAAATTGCTTTCCAGAAAACTGCCAAAATATTCAGTCAATATGACTGTCTTTTAAAGCAGTTTGGCAACTCTAAGGAAGAGAGAAAGGAGGTGGTATGTAATCTAATAAACATGCAACAAGACAATCTTTTAACCATATGAAAATTCTAGATAGTCAAATATGAAAAGTTGTATGACTCAAGTTCAAAGCAGCTGAACTCCAGGTAATGGAAATGTTAGCAAATGAAAAACACGACCATCCCAGAGTAAATAAGGCTGTATACCATTATCAACAAAGACCTTTGAACCCTGTCCTATCATGGCAAGGAATGAAACCAGTTTCCTCCAATCTCCTTAGGGA